CTTCCCCCCCCACAGGTGAGTCCTCCACACACCTGACCCCTCCCCCACCCCCTCAGGTGTGCCTCCGCCACACCTGGCCGCACCTGGCAGGAGTCGGTGCTGTCACCGGCGCGGCCGCCGGCGCAAAGCATGTTGGGAGTGATGGCACCTGGGTACAGGTGAGCGCAGGCGGCGTTGGACCAGGTGAACACCTCGCCACACTGCAGCACGTCCGGGAACGCACCTGGCGCAGGTGAGAGCGGTCAGGGACAGGTGGGGACGGGTGGGGATGGGTGGGACACGTGAGGACAGGTGAGGACAGGTGAGGACAGGTCACATTTCCCTCCATTTTCCCCTCACGGTTCCTGCCATTTTCCCCTGACGTTTCCCTCCATTTTCCCCTCACATTTCCCTCCATTTTCCCCTGACGTTTCCCTCCATTTTCCCCTCACATTTCCCTCCATTTTCCCCTGACGTTTCCCTCCATTTTCCCCTCACATTTCCCTCCATTTTCCCCTCCCCTTTCCCCATTTTTTGCCTTTCCCCCCCATTTTTCCTTGTGGGGGAGGGGCTTGGGGTGATCTGGGGCTTTTGATGTGACATCCAGCCCCCCCCCAGGTGCCCCCCAGGTGACATCCAGGTGCCCCCCAGGTGTTACAAGGAGCCCCTCAGGTGTTACAGGTGAAGTAAAAAAAAAACACTCAGGTGTTAAAAGGAGCCATTCAGGTGTTACAGGTGAGGCCAAGGAGCCCCTCAGGTGCCCCCCGGGTGCTCCAGGTGAGCCCCAGGTGCTCCAGGTACCCCCCAGGTGACCCCCCAGGTGTCACAAGGAGCCCCCCAGGTGTCACAGGTGAGGTCAAGGAGCCCCCCAGGTGTCTCAGGTGGGCCCAGGTGCGTCAGTCGCCGCCGTTGGCGCGGATGGTGCGGCGGATCCAGGTGGTGAAGGCGCAGACCCGGCTGTACACACCTGGCTTGCCCTGCTGGCCGCACACCTGCAGCCCCCAGGAGACCACGCCCTGCAGGTACCCCTCGCACACCAGAGGGCCCCCGGAGTCACCCTGGGACAGGTGAGACACAGGTGAGACAGGTGAGGGACAGGTGAGAGAGGTGAGGGACAGGTGGGACAGGTGAGAGACAGGTGGGACAGGTGAGAAACAGGTGAGGGACAGGTGAGTCCCCCCAGGTGTTTCCCACCCATTCCCCCCCATACAGGTGAGTCCCCACAGGTGTTTGCCAGGTGTTCCTCAGGTGTTTCTCACTCCCATTCCCCCCCATACAGGTGAGTTCTCACAGGTGTTCTCCAGCTGTTTCCCACTCCCATTCCCCCCCATACAGGTGAATCCCTCCGGGTGTTCTCCAGCTGTTTCCCACTCCCATTCCCCCCCATACAGGTGAGTTCTCACAGGTGTTCTCCAGCTGTTTCCCACTCCCATTGCCCCCCATACAGGTGAATCCCTCCAGGTGTTCACCAGGTGTACCCCAGGTGTTTCTCACTCCCATTCCCCCCCATACAGGTGAGTTCTCACAGGTGTTCTCCAGCTGTTTCCCACTCCCATTGCCCCCCATACAGGTGAATCCCTCCAGGTGTTCACCAGGTGTACCCCAGGTGTTTCTCACTCCCATTCCCCCCCATACAGGTGAGTTCTCACAGGTGTTCTCCAGCTGTTTCCCACTCCCATTGCCCCCCATACAGGTGAATCCCTCCAGGTGTTCACCAGGTGTACCCCAGGTGTTTCTCACTCCCATTCCCCCCCATACAGGTGAGTTCTCACAGGTGTTCTCCAGCTGTTTCCCACTCCCATTGCCCCCCATACAGGTGAATCCCTCCAGGTGTTCACCAGGTGTACCCCAGGTGTTTCTCACTCCCATTCCCCCCCATACAGGTGAGTTCTCACAGGTGTTCTCCAGCTGTTTCCCACTCCCATTGCCCCCCATACAGGTGAATCCCTCCAGGTGTTCACCAGGTGTACCCCAGGTGTTTCTCACTCCCATTCCCCCCGGGACAGGTGAGGACAGGTGGGACAGGTGGGACAGGTGAGGACAGGTGAGGACAGGTGGGACAGGTGAGGACAGGTGTGGGACAGGTGGGACAGGTGAGGACAGGTGTGGGACAGGTGAGGGCAGGTGGGGATGGACAGGTGGTGATGGATGGGACAGGTGAGTCCCTCAGGTGTGTCCCCACGCCCTCACCTTTTCCCCTGCCCCCCAGGTGTGTCCCCACCCCTCACCTGCCCCCCCAGGTGTGTCCCCACGCCCTCACCTGCCCCCCAGGTGTGTCTCACCTTGCGGGCTGCGGGTGCTGCCCCATCCGGACACCACACACCTGTCCCCTACCTGGGGACACCTGCGGGGCAGCGGCACCGGCCGCACCCTGGGGCTCAGGTGGGCGGGGCTGCTCAGTCGCAGCAGCATGACGTCACTGTCATGGCGGCCGGGCAGGTACCGCGGGTGCACGAAGGCGCGCGCCCAGGTGAGGCATTGCTCCGCCCCGTCGCGCTCCTTCAGGTTGTGCTCTCCCAGCAGGACCCGCAGGGGGCTGGACAGGTAAAGGTGAGCACAGGTGAGCACAGGTGAGCACAGGTGAGCTCACCTGGGACAGGTAAATGGGGGTTTATAATGGGACAGGTGAGGGACAGGTGAGGGACAGGTGTGTGTCCCCACGCCCTCACCTGCCCCCCACTCCCTCACCTGCCCCCCAGGTGTGTCCCCACCCTTCACCTGCCCCCAAGTGTTTCCCCACCCCCTCACCTGCCTCCCAGGTGTGTCCCCCCCTCGCCTGCCCCCCAGGTGTGTCCCCACCCCTCACCTGCCCCCCCAGGTGTGTCCCCACGCCCTCACCTGCCCCCCAGGTGTGTCTCACCTTGCGGGCTGCGGGTGCTGCCCCATCCGGACACCACACACCTGTCCCCTACCTGGGGACACCTGCGGGGCAGCGGCACCGGCCGCACCCTGGGGCTCAGGTGGGCGGGGCTGCTCAGTCGCAGCAGCATGACGTCACTGTCATGGCGGCCGGGCAGGTACCGCGGGTGCACGAAGGCGCGCGCCCAGGTGAGGCATTGCTCCGCCCCGTCGCGCTCCTTCAGGTTGTGCTCTCCCAGCAGGACCCGCAGGGGGCTGGACAGGTAAAGGTGAGCACAGGTGAGCACAGGTGAGCACAGGTGAGCTCACCTGGGACAGGTAAATGGGGGTTTATAATGGGACAGGTGAGGGACAGGTGAGGGACAGGTGAGGTCCCTTCAGGCTGTGCTCGCCCAGCAGGACCCGCAGGGGGCTGGACAGGTAAAGGTGAGCACAGGTGAGTGCAGGTGAGCTCACCTGGGACAGGTAAATACACCTGGGACAGGCAAATATACCTGGGGCAGGTAAAGGTGACAGGTTCGGGGGGACAGGTGAGGCTCAGCCCCGCCCCTTTCAGGCTGTGCTGGCGCAGGGGGCTGTGCATGGACAGGTGAGCTTTGTGTGCCCAGGTGTAGCCAGGTGTGGTTTTATCCCCCTCAGGTGTGCCCGTGTGTGCCCAGGTGTTTCCATCCCGCTCAGGTGCATCCCAAACTTGACCAGATGTATTCCAGGTGTACTCAGGTGTGCCCAGGTATGTTTTTATCCCCCCCCAGGTGTACCCGCATGTGTTTCCATCCCCCTCAGATGTACCCAGGTGTGCCCAGGTGTGCCCAGGTGTATCCCAGCTGTACCCAGGTGTATCCCCGGTGTGCCCAGGTGTGTTTTTATCCCCCTCAGCTGTACCCAGGTGTACCCAGGTGTGCCCAGGTGTATCCCAGGTGTGCCAGGTGTGTCTCACCTGTCAGTGTGGCAGTGGGCAGCGGTCAGCACCCAGTTGCAGCCAATCAGGACCCCCAGGTGTGCCCAGGTGTACCCTGGTGTATCCCAGGTGTGCCCAGCTGTGCCCAGGTGTGCCCAGGTGTATCCAGGTGTGTTATTATCCCCCTCAGGTGTATCCCAGCTGTACCCAGGTGTATCCCAGGTGTGCCCGGTGGTGCCCGGGGTGTGCCAGGTGTGTGCCCAGGTGTGTCTCACCTGTCGGTGTGGCAGTGGGCGGCGGTCAGCACCCAGTTGCGGCCGATCAGGACCCCCCCGCAGTGGATGGCGCCCCCTGGCTGCAGCAGCAGCACCTGGTACGGGTGGCGCTGCCGCTCGCACCTGGCCCCGCCCACGATGCGGTTCTCGTCCGCCCCCGCGGCCGCTGCGGACCAGTGCGGACCAGTTAGAACCAGTACGGACCGGTTAGAACCAGCACGGACTGGTTAGAACCAGTACGGACCAGTTAGAACCAGTATGGACCGGTTAGAAGCAGTGCAGACCAGTTAGAACCAGTATGGACCGGTTAGAAGCAGTGCAGACCAGTTAGAACCAGTGCAGACCAGTTAGAACCAGTACGGACCAGTTAGAACCAGTACGGACCAGTTAGAACCAGTACGGACCAGTTAGAACCGGTGCGGACCAGTTAGAACCAGTACGGACCGGTTAGAACCAGTGCGGACCGGTTAGAACCAGCACGGACTGGTTAGAACCAGTACAGACCGGTTAGAACCGGTCTGGACCAGTTAGGACCAGTACGGACCAGTTAGAACCAGTACGGACCAGTTAGAACCAGTACGGACCGGTTAGAACCAGTATGGACCAGTTAGAACCAGTATGGACCTGTTAGAAGCAGTGCAGACCGGTTAGAACCTTACGGACTGGTTAGAACCAGTATGGGCCAGTTAGAACCAGTACAGACCAGTTAGAACCAGTATGGACCGGTTAGAAGCAGTGCAGACCAGTTAGAACCAGTACGGACCAGTTAGAACCAGTCTGGACCAGTTAGGACCAGTATGGACCAGTTAGAACCAGTACGGACCGGTTAGAACCAGTATAGACCAGTTAGAACCAGTAGAAACCAATCTGGACCAGTAGAAACCAGTCTGGACCAGTTTGGACTGGTGGTCTCCCAGTCCAACCCAGTCCATCCCAGTCTCCCCCAGTCCATCCCAGTTCCCTCCCAGTCCATCCCAGTCCATCCCAGTCCCCCCCAGTCCCTCCCAGTCCATCCCAGTTCATCCCAGTCCATCCCAGTTCCCTCCCCGTGACCTCCCGCTTCCCACCCACTCCCTCCCAGTCCCTCCCAGTTTCCTCCCAGTCCCTCCCAGTGCCCCCAGTTCACCCTCCCAGTACAAACCAGTTCACCCTGTCGATTGCCTCCCACTCATCCCAGTCCCTCCCAGTCCCTCCCAGTTCCCTCCCAGTGTCCCCAGTTCACCTCTGGCTCCATCCCAGTATGGCCCAGTGTCCTCCCAGTGCTCCCAGTTCACTCCCAGTTCAATTCCACTTCCCTCCCAGTTCATCCCAGTTCATCCCAGTTCATGCCCAGTGCTCCCAGTTCATCCCAGTTCACTCCCAGTTCAGTTCCACTTCCCTCCCAGTCCGTCCCAGTTCATCCCAGTGCTCCCAGTTCATCCCAGTTCATCCCAGTTCACTCCCAGTTCACTCCCAGTCCAAACCAGCAGCTCCCAGTGCCCCCCGTTTGCTCCCTGTTCACTCCCAGTTTCTTCCAGTACAAACCAGTACAACCCAGTACAAACCAGTACAACCCAGTACAAACCAGTGCCCCCCAGTCCCTCCCAGTCCAAACCAGTATAAACCAGCACAAACCAGCAGTCCCCCAGTGCCCCCGGCCCAAACCAGTATAAACCAGTATAAACCAGCACAAACCAACAGCCCCCAGCCCCCCCCAGCCCCAACCAAAACAAACCAA